GTTTTTCTGGGACGATTGACGTCAGATGAAAAATTACCTCACATTGGCAATATTTTTAACCAGCTCAAATCATCCTGAAAGCTGTCACTTTTAACACAACATTTGATAAAATCGCACAAACAACGCGCGCATTTTGCGTCGTTTTAAATGATAGAATATGTGCCAGCTTTGATTTGTATCGCGATGAAATATTCCTGAAAGACGTTTTCAACTTTGGCGTCGCTCTGAAAAGCGAGTGAAAAATGTAAACATGAATCTCGTCGCTTTTGATCTGTGCATCTTGTGCACGAGTTTCCATTTCCTACATTTCTTTGATTTGTTTCTTACTTTGCTTGCAAAGGGACACGAAAACACCGCAAGTTTGTTTATGAAATCATCGTAATGGAATCTACAAACAAAAAACTCTTTTATTTTCAATCCTTTTTCAATCCACAAATGAATAAACACAAAAATGGTACTTTTATAACCATTTTCAGAAATATTACAAATTTTTTATCTATAAATAGACGCGTTAAGTACATAATTGCAAATGTGAATACGCAAGTGTTTTTGAATTAGCTCCAAATAGTGGAGTAATAATATTCACGAGTCACGAGTTCCCAGCAAGTACCTACTCCTGTGTTACCATGTGTTTTCATAGATTTTCCCGTATTTTGACCCGTCGGCAAGTCGAGGACAGTATGCAATTTTCCCTCATACGGCAGTACACATTACACAATGATATTACCATATCGCGCGGTTAATAACACCGCATAAACGGTTACGACGAGCGGGCGTGTGCACATTCTCGCGCTTTCCTCGCGTCTCGACCGCGCATAATCGTATATAATCTAACTAATCGTCGGCAACGCACGCTGAAAACATGCATCAACATATTCATGCTCATCGCATGATGAAAATTGTGAAAACGACTCGTGCGAAACTTGAAGACAAGAAGACAAGCCCTTTCTTTATCGATTCGCTTCACAGAGAGTCAACTTAGCACTATAATTATATTTAATATTTTAAAATACAAGAATACATTCCGACGGAATGAATTTACGGCCTGCAAAACCATAAATCTCAATTGTCGATGTGAGAGCGCGTCATTATTCAATCTAACAATCGTCTTGGTGCAATATTTTTTTTTATCACACTACAAACACACACACAGATTTTAATGCGTAAGTGAGTAACAGATCATGGGAATGGGTTGCAATGTTAGCATGTTAACGCGGTTACGATTGCGAAGACAATGAAACCGCTCGTAAATAAGCAGCGAGTGAAAATTTCACTTTTTGTTTATGCAAATCGACGCGCCGCGCTGCCTGCGAAGAACAACACACAGTCAAGGTTAATTGCATTAATGTGGTACCCTCGCCAGTGGAAAATGTTTAAATTTAAATTTCATGCTCGCACGCACACACGATATAATAAATTCACGAATTTAGGTTTATTATTAACACACTTATCCAAGCAACATGTATAACACTCTTTTTTATATAAATAAATACTTACATAAAAAAGTTCTCGTTGTAAAAAGTAAAGAGGCAATTATTTCAATTGCAATTACGATTATAATTATAATTAGCGCAATAATCGTCCGACCATCTAATGAGAAAATAAGAGTATTACCGCTCGTGATGATGCAAGGAGATAGAAAAGTATAAACGAGAAGAAAAGAGGTTGTTAGGTTACTGCATTGCTAACTAACGATTGTTAACGACGGAATGGAAGTGAATAAAAAGAAAAAACAGTTTGAAATTACACGCTTTGAGAAAATTTGTTCTAACTTCAAAGTGATCCGTCTAATCACCCAGAAAGAAAAAAATGGTTATTTTTTTGTCGGCGGGTATGTAATTATCGAATATAAAAAGGCGTCCATGATTAAATTTTCAGTTTAAATGTTCAAGGCGAATGACAAAACACGTTTTTTGTTTTTTCAACAGTCGTAAACACACGATACGCGCACAGTTTTGCATAATTTGCACTAATTGCACTTTCGTGCCTGATTATGCAGCCGTTTTAGCATATGACAACATTGACAATGCAAACAACGTGGATAATTTCAATGTGCAAAACTATAATAGCCAAGTTTTATAATTCATCATTCTTATTTAATATTTATTTTAAAAGTGTGTTACATGTAGTATGTCGCTATATTGGATTAACTAATTATGAGTGTATTGTTGTCACGTACCGCTGACCAAATGCGTGGGTGGACACACGTCCGAAATACTACTAATGCTGCTAATTCAACCGCCATTCAAACTCACCTCGAGTTCCGTTCATACGTGTTATTTATCGTGTACCCTGCAAAAACCTTGAAAAACGTTTTTTCAACAGGGAGCGTTTAAAATTACAAAAGTTTCAATAACTCACGTTTCAAAAGTTACAACTAACAACGAATGAATAATGCGTTCGGTTTTGTATTTTGTTTTCTGTTTTCCGGTGCAAACTTTGGGTTCTGTGTTGATGTTGATCTGAGCCACGAAAATACGAATTTTCCGTGTTGTGTACGTTGGGTCAGTCTACATTGGTGTTTGTTAGTTTTTGCAGTGAATGCCGGCTGAGTTTGTAATTTACGGGGTTCAACGTTCAATGCCGGCGCCCTGCGACCGCCTCCCGACACGTAAAAGGCGCCAAATACCGCCATCGACTGTTTTTTACCACCCTCATGAGGTGGAAGAAAATAAAGCTTCAGCGTACGCTTTTAAATGATCTCAAAAACTTTTCTTTATTATTTAAAATTTTGTTGCTTTAAAATTAAATTATTCTAATTATCTAAATCTGATAATCCGATTTATATTACACATAGGAAACTTTCTTTAAGCTGTATATAATTAATTTCAAACTGGGCTGGCTAAACATTTAAGTTTTCAACTTTACCGAAGAACTTAAAGGCTAATTGCTTTCCTATCGATCGTTGTTGCCTGTGACTGCGCAATTTTCATATAAAAATGTTGAAAACACCCAAAAGGCAAATGAGAATGTGAATAATCGTAAACATTTGTGTGCAATATGCATATTACTTGTAGGAGTTTATATTCCATGAATGTGATGTGAGTTGATTTCGCAACGATGGCGATAATAATGAATAATGTGTCGAAAATGGACATTTTTATGTTTTCGCCCACGCAAAATTTCGTTTTCGCATCGACATTTTGCAGCGTCATGTGGCATTTCTACCAGACCTTAAATCATGCCAAATAAATATTTACTCACACACGTTAATAAGTAATACGAACAAATAATGTTGTTTTAAGTATTTGCAAACATTAAAAGTTATATTTTTTGTTTTTATTGTAAAGTGGTTTCGGGTATCGGCTTTCGCGCGAGATAGAAAGCGTGCATAAATAATATATTCGCATTTTTGCAAATATTCCCTAATGGACTTACTTCATCTACATACTGCAAAGATGCAAAGTGTGCCAAAAATTGCGATAGAAGAAAAAAGTATACAAAAGACAGATGAAAGCCGAAGCCAAAATTGAAAAATGATCGAATTGCTAAATAAAGGGATTGTCGATGGAACGAATGGCACATAAACTCATAAGAAATCCGAATGACATTGACCCAATGAAGGCCAACCCATAAATATAAAAATTATCATTTTCTTTTCCTTTAAGACACTCGGGAGGATAATAAAACATGATAAACGCAGATGAAAAACAAAATACAACAATCCTAGATTGATCAATCCATCACTCTTTATATTATATATAAAGACGTGCAAAAACAAAATATTCATGCAAATAAAATGGTTTCCAGCATAAATCTACCTCATTTACTTTTATATTTTCCGCGAACGTCATCAAGCTCGCTGAATATATTTTTAGAAAAGTAGTAGCGGTACGCACCACTGCCGCTGAAACGGTAAAAGGGTAAAGCAATTAATATCACGACGACCAAATGAGAAAGAAACGAAACATAAACGCTGCAAACGCAAAAAACTCGCGAAACATAAAATACTAAAATGGAAATGCGGGCGTGATGAGATCTAAAGTGCTAGATGAAAGCAATTCATGTATTTTCAGTGTTGCGTAATTAATATATGAAATGTTGTATGAAGATAAATTGCAACACGCTATAAATACGAAATGTGTAAATTATCCTTGCTGGAAGACTCAAGGAAACGTGTTAGCAACGCGCAGATACATTTATTGAGCGACGCAATTTATATCAGATCCTTCAGAGTGCGTAGATTAATGAATAATGATTAGTCTGTAATTTAGTAACAAAACCACCTCGAGTATTGGAATAATTCGATCCTGAGTGGTAATTTTAGCAATTTTGCTAATTTACTTACGAGTTTACCAAGCGTAATTATTAATTAGCAAGATTAATCTGTAATGAGTTTAAAATTTAATTACATTAATTTTAATGAATTCATAGCGTAGAAACTTGCTGTGACCTTTTGTCAACGCGCTCAATTTCTATTCAAATTTTCATTTGTCTGCTGGTTTATTGTCCGAAAGTCTTATAATTGCTGTCGAAGGCAATAATATAATCCACACGCTTCATATAATTCGCTCGTCACGAGCAGGATAGATTTCCACAATCCTGGGCTGCGGTGGCGGCAAGGACTGCGGCTATTCATATTCATAGCGCTGCGGGTGTTCGCCGCTCGGACGAAGCGGATTGCTCAATCGGGTGTGCGGCACAATATCCATTTCCCCGGGAGTTCAAAGGGTAACAGCAGGATACGGTAGTCAAGGTGATGTGTACGTGCGCGATAAGCATAGAGGTAGAACTAGAAGGGTTCGCAGATGAGTTTGATAATTTATAAAAAAAAATCATTACACATTTCAACGTCCTTCGTCCTTTCCCTTCCAGCTACGCTGACGTGGGGCATATTTCACGTTCCGTTTATCAAAAGGCATCGATTATCCCAACATAGATGTGTTAAGCTGAGTTGGGTTGAGTCCTGCTGAAACAGGATGTTTTTACATTTTTAAATATGCCCGATATTTATAGCTGGTACCTTTTTATCTAGTGACCTGATGCTTTTATTTTTGCAGGATTAAGGATGGCACGCCGTAGAAAACAAAAACACAAATTTTAATATCGGCTAGGATCAATTATATCATGGATCACAGCGTCAAGGCGATGACGTCGCCGCGTATTATCGCGCGCGTGCTCAACCCGCATCGGTTTGAGAACGATGAATTGGAGTTGCTGTACCAGAGGTATATCTGCAAGCTGCAGCATTCGTCAGTCGCTGCAGTTGTTGCCCTCTTCGTCATTCTCACCGCCATCTTGGCAAACCTTGGTTTGGTCTATTCACAAGCAGCCACAGCCCAGGTAATGAATATATAATCCTCAACATATTAAAAATACTAATACCTTGTTTGTTCTAAGGTTGTTTATCATGCTGCCCATTGTATACTCTTCGGAATCCTGCTGGCGTTCCTACACACACGTCTCATGCAGGATGCGTATCTGTTGTGGGTATGCTACGCGGTGCTCTTCTTTCTCGCCACCTTCTGCGCCCTGGCACTACCGTTGTATGGAGGTGGTGCGGTGGCACACGTTGCTGCCGAGGGTGTGTGGCAGGTGGTGTTTGTCGTCTTCCTAGCGTATGCGATGATGCCGTTGAAGGCGTGGGTCGCCGCCCTCTTCGGCCTTCTGCTCAGCTCGGCCCACATCGTCGTCTCGGTGCTCTTCGCCAAGGATTTTCCACACCTGCTTTGGCAACAGGTAAATGATATCATCAACTTTTACTCCGACATTCAACATTCAACTTGGGAAATCAATAATTCAACCGCTCGAAGCTTTCAGACTGAATAAAATTGAGTTTGATGTGGAGTGGACGCAGGTCAATATTAAATAACAAAATTGTGTATATTCCTATATTACACAAGAGAACAAAAATAATGATAGACTGCCAGAGGTAATTTACGTTATAGTGCACTTTATTTTTCCTTTGAGAACGAGTTATTTATGCAGGAATTCTAAATGTGACGTAACTTTCCCTCGAGGCTTTCAATTTTCGTTCCTTTTAATCAGAGCACATTTTTGTGTTGATTTTCAATTTAATTTTTCAAGTATGCGCTGTGATGTAATTTAAACGGTTTGTCCATGTAAGACATTAAGATGTAATTTAAGTCGGCGTGGCGGTATAATCATAGGCATAAATGCACGGAAATCCGGCTTTAAATCCAAACCCGCCGCGAAACAGACACAGCGTGAATCTGTAATCGCTGCGAGATGGGCTTTTTTCCTAACGTGTTCCGTGGCACTTGCTTCCACACAACTTCCAACTTCCATCCGTTTACATTACAAACTCGATAAATCAACGTTATACTACAGCGCATTACCGCACGTGGCGCGTTACACTCGCATTAAATATGACATTAGGCCGCTATCAATATTTCCTGCAACTTTTTGCGGCAATCTTCGCCTAGGAAACTTTATTTAGTATTTTAAATTTGTAAGACTTCAAAGTTTGTCACGAAATAGTAAAATGTGTACGATAATAAATCGTGTACTTGGAAACTTTTCCACTTTGCCACGCTCTGACGCTTAGAAACTTCCATCGAGTTTCTTTGTACAAATTTTACTTTTCCAGTTGTCGTAGTGGAAAGCAAGCGACTAATAAAACGTATGTCGACTCAATTTAGTTGCCCCCAAGAGTTTCAGGAAAGAAAACTTTATGATTGTACAAGCATATTGAACAATCAACATAAACAAGTGACAAAATTACACTTAAGGATGTAGTCTATAGTAAATTAATCAATAAATTAATAGTAATGATAAATTAATTAATTTCCGCGTGCGCCGCGACGAAAACGGACGTCCAACGCGAGAAACGAATGACTCAATTGACGTTTCGAATTTAATTTGCATACATCAGTGATTCATGCCAATGGCGACTCAATTTCTCCTCTCGGCGATTCTTAATTTAAATTTAGCTCAGGTATAATACGCACACGGACGGAATCAAATGATCGGCGAGCCGTAAAATACGAGACGGAATTAAAATGCTAACATTTTACATCGCAAAAGACTTGATACTTGCTTGGATGTCAGAAAGAAATGAGAATTTAGTATTCTGAATTCTGGAAAGCGACTAATTCGACGCGAACGCTTATCTTTAGAGACAAATTATTTAAATTGACAATTAATTATGCTTATAAATGACTCGCGTTCCTAATTAATTTATTACACTTAGTGTTGACGTTTATTAACTGGTTTTCTTGTATTTCGTTAATAGTTAATTGCGAATGTCATCGTCTTCATGTGTGTGAACGTAGTGGGCATCTTCATGCACAATATGATGGAGCACGCTCAACGTAAAGCCTTCCTGGACACGAGAAATTGTATCGCTGCTCGACTGGAAATGGAGGATGAAAATGAAAAACTTGTAAGTCGTTTATCAATGACAAAAGGCCGTCAATTTAATCGGGGAATCGTTTGGAACGTTTTCTGTTATTTCAACACCGTTTAATTCCGCGACGGTTCAATTTGTCGCCTTGTTTTATATTGGTGAACAATTTATTATTTCTCGAAGCAGGTGCGTTTCACCTGTTTAGTCCTCGCATCACAAAGCACACAAAAGAAAGCAAAACGAAAGCCAATTAATCGCGTGATTTATCGTCTGCTGGCTACATTTTTCATTGATTTTGTTTTCGCGCACGAATGCCGTCCGACGTGATGTCAAGACTCTCCAGACTCCGTCGAGAGCGATTTATTCAATCTGCGACGGGTCGTGATGTGGTGATGCAGGGCGTAATTTTCGATTTTCTGCTCAATTTATATGCAAATTGTTTTAATTTTTAATTTTACGCATTACGTAATTTCTGTTATGTATTTTCTAATTTCAGGAACGACTTTTATTGTCAGTCCTGCCGCAACACGTTGCAATGGAGATGAAGAACGATATCATCTCACCTGTCGAAGGACAATTCCACAAGATTTACATCCAGAAGCACGAAAATGTTAGGTAAGTGAATTTAGAACGGAATAAAATAAAGTGCATTGGATGCACTTTTCCGGTCGAGAAGTTTTCATGAAAAATTCATATCCGTACGTCTAAAAAAACAACCTTAAGATCATAAAATCGAGAAGGTTCTTGCTTCGCAGCGAAAAAACATGAGTTAAGGACTCTTTATCAAGAAAAACGTGCGAAAGAAATGAAATAAACGTGTATAACCACTCGAAAAGCATATCTGCGTGAGACGTAGCTAAATGAGTTTCATTCCTACTCGCGGTTCCATCTGAAGGTAGGAGGGTTGAAAACTGCGAGGAATTTCGGCGTAATCAAATATAAAAACGTAACATTACGACTCTAATAAAAAGTTACTTTCACTTCTCCCGGAAAATGTAATATCGGCGGAAAATATTGCTCCGCCGACCGCAAAAACCTATATCGAAATTTGTGCGAATGTTACCAAAAGGAAATGAACATGATTTTCAATTTCCGTTCAATTCCGTAACAGATTTCACCCCTAAACGTGTTTATCTCAAGTTGACAAAATAAAAAGGCAACAAATTTTCAAAAATTTAGAAGCAAATCAAATAAATCAATAAAAAAAACATCTTTCAGTATACTTTTCGCTGACATCGTTGGATTCACCGTTCTTGCATCTCAGTGCACAGCCCAGGAGTTAGTTCGGTTGTTGAATGAACTTTTTGGAAGGTTTGATCAATTAGCCAATGTAAGTTAAATCACAAAAAAATTATATTCTTTGTTAAAATATTGGTTTAACAGGATAATCATTGCCTACGTATAAAAATCCTTGGGGATTGTTATTATTGCGTATCTGGTCTACCAGAACCACGGTCAGACCATGCCCATTGTACTGTCGAAATGGGTTTGGATATGATTGACGCCATTGCCAGTGTGGTGGAAGCCACTGACGTGCAACTCAACATGCGGGTTGGGATTCATTCAGGGCGAGTGTTGTGCGGTGTCCTTGGTCTTAGGAAATGGCAGTACGACGTGTGGTCGAATGATGTCACTCTAGCTAATAATATGGAAGCAGGTGGAGAACCAGGGTAGGTCCTTTAAATTTTCGATAATTCAAGCTTACGATTAATGATTATTATGTTGTACTAGGCGTGTACATATAACACAAGCCACTTTGGACTATCTGGGTGGAGAATATGAAGTGGAAGCGGGACTTGGTTCCAGCAGGAATCAATACTTGCGGGATCATTGCGTGACTACGTACTTCATCGTGCCACCAGCGCGCCGACGCAAGGTACTTATATCAAATATAACTCAAACGGTTGCAAAGAAATCTTTGTGGCCGCAACGATTTATTAACATGTGTGTTGTTAAGAGATCAAAATATTTAAACCATGCCCAGCCTTACAAACAACTCTACCAATTGAATCTACCAACAGCATCCAAAATTATTTTTGAAATTAATGTTTACAACTATCTAAGTGTCGCATGCCTCCGTGCATTTTGATGTTGAGCACATCCTGACAAGTGGATACTTTACATGACCACAAATTTGAATATATTAACTGTGTTTAAAATGAGGCAACTAACAGGATTCAGAAGATGAAATGAAGGGAATTCAAATGAAGTAGTTTTAACAAGGTTTTTTGGGAATGAGGCACTAATCTAATCCAAAATTACACACCCATACACACCCCGTGACTTGTGACTAACCTGCATACCCTCCCCCGGTCACGCCCCGGCGGATCTCTTCCAGCCACTGTTGTTCAACACGCTGCAGGTCCGATCGGCGCTCGGCGCTGCCCAGCGACGCAAGCTGAGCTTCAAGAACGTCTCCAATGTGGTGGTCCAACTCCTACATTCGATCAAGTATTCCATGGAGGTGCCCTTCAGCAACATGGCGCTGCAGCCGCAGGACATGAAGAACGCCCAGGCACGCAAGGTAAAACCTCAATACTTTCATCTAAGTGTTTCAATCCAAGGCACTAAGAACGCACTAAATATTTCCGAAATGAACACAAGCGGAATCATCGTGATGCATGATTGTTGTATTATTGTTGTTTTAGGAATTAGTGGTAAGTGTGTCGCGCCATTTTAGTACTTCCATGTGGGGACAGTCGAGCACCACACTCACACACGTAGTTTTCGTATCATACACGAGTGTCGTACTGTCGTAGATTAGATGGCACATTTGCGGGATGCACACCTCACATCGAATCGTTTAGCGCGTTGGGCGCGGCGGAATATGTAATCGTTTATGCCTCCTTGTAGGTGCTAGATCTGCAGCGCGCGCTGCACGCTGATCATCCGCCGACAAGCGAAACGCCCGAGCCGGCCGATTCCAAAGTGAGTTATCAGCCTACCAGTGCATCCCATTTTGAACACAATCACCCACCACACACGCTTATGATACGACCAGTTCACGACTCTGTGCGCGCTACTGTCTGATGCTGTGCCCTTTTTCGTAGCTTTTAATGTTGCTTTGCGCTTTGATCTAGTTCATAGTCTGCGTAGGCTGTAGATTTAGTTACTTATAGAAAAGCAAGAAACAAAAGCTTGGAAAAAGGTCCCCTTTGAAATATATGGCGATTAATTTGTAATTATTGACGGTCTAGGTATGCGTCGTCAACAATGCGGCCGGCGGGCCAGTTGTTGTCGTCGACACGGTAGCGGAAGTGAGTTTAGACTTTTATAAACTCGATCATTCAAGCGTAGCAAATATTGCTTTTTGTTATTTTTGCACAAATACATCAAAAAACATTCAGCACTTTTGTGAAATAAGAAAAAAAAACAGATCATGATTCATAAATCATTGATGTGCGCGGTGATAGGAATAGGCAAACGATTTTTTTGGTGGTGCGTGTGAATTGTAGGTCGTTGACGGGTCGAAAAGACCGCCCACTGTTTCTACCACCCCGATTCGCATCGAGGACGTCACGCCGAAAGCAAGAACCGCACCGAAAGTGAGTTTTTCCTGTCTTCAGACGTGTTGCTTCGATTCTCCTTCAAGTTTCCACATTCAAATGTGACTTCAACTGTCCTTCAACTGTGTTTTTCGTCTGATGTCTCTCCGTTTCTCAACTATAAATCGTTTTCAGACTCAATTTTATCAGTCATTGTCTTTATCGTCATGGGAATCAGTGTTAATCAAGGTGTTTGTACATTTTACGATGTTTTTTTGTTATCTGATTGGATTCATCAGAGTCGGAACCAGCGGAGTTAATTGCAATTTCCCGACTAAGCGGGAAATTGAAATTTATTAATTTCCGCACGTGCGAAACATCCTCATATCTCTTGCTTCATATGAACTTTGCGAATTTTACAGCTACACGTGGCTTTAAACTTCGGAAAATCTACCAAAAGTTGATTGCGACCAACTGGTGACTAATAAAATCGCCTGATGTAAATGTTAATCCAAATGAGCGTATGATTTTCTGAAGTGTTTTCAAAAAGCGCGCTTTCTTCGCTTCCTTGTTTTCCGAGAAGCTGCTTCCAAACCCTTGTTTTGAAATATCAGTAAATGTGTGTTTTCCGTTCTTAGAACAAAGTCACCGAGAAATTCAAGCGGCCCTTCAAGAAGCGTCATTCCAGTGTCTACCATCAGCCATCGAACCGTGTCAACAAGTATCTAGCTCAGGCGATAGAAGCGCGTAGCGTCGATCGCGAAAAGTCTACACACGTCAATTTGATCACGTTGTGCTTCAAGGACAGTTCCAAAGAAAATCAGGTACATACAGTATCTGGATTTAATGGGCTGGAAGGCCTAATTGTGTGTTTCCACTCCATTTATTCAATAATAACGTTTTTTGTGTCTTTCAGTATCACGACGACATAGACGTCGGTTACAGTTCCTCCCTGGCGTGCGCGCTCGCATTGTTGGTCCTTTTGGGAGCGCTGCAAGCGGTTGTTTTACCTCGGACCATTATTTTACTTCTTCTTTTCCTCACGGCTTTCGTGTGGATATCAGTGGTCTTGATGCTTCTACTTGCAGTGCGCCTGCGTTGGATACTCTGGGACATTTCACAAAGTTTTGTCCTGAGACTTGCAATAACTGTATTTACGATAGTTTTGATTTATACAGTCGCTCAAGTGAATGTGGTAAGAGTTTTATATGACTTTTTACTAGTTTTAAAACTAACTGTTCTTGTTTTCAGTTTACGTGTCGATCTGATGTTCCTTGCTTATCACCGGAATCAACAACAAACGTCACTTTAGATGGTGGTACTCTAGAACGCGACCATCGCGCGTGTCCTCTTCCTCAATATATAATCCTATCATGCGCGTTAGGATATCTAGCAGTTGCTCTTTTCCTGCGATTGCCTATTCTTTTAAAATCATCACTCCTTGTGGTCATGTCTACAGTCTACATACTTCTGATAGAACTATCGCATATTGACTTATTTATGTGTTACGACCTTCGTGTAAAGTAAGTTTTAATCTTAATAAGTTTACTTGCATATATTGCATTGCTCAATTTCTTAGGTCTGTAATACCCGCTCATGTTTTGAGTGTGGTTGAAGTCCTCATGTTCGTCCTTGCAGTTCTTTTGCATGGGCGCCAGGTGGAATGGACCGCTCGATTGGACTTCCTTTGGCAGATTCAAGCGAATGAAGAAAAACGCGAAATGGACGCACTGCAACACTCCAACAAGCGAATACTCTTCAATCTGCTACCAGCTCATGTGGCCACCCATTTTCTGGACAATCAGTTCAGGAACAACATGGTGAGTGTGCGCATGTTTGCTGCTAATGCATTGCTTCATATATCTCACTTGTGTATTGTGTAGCCACTGTAGCCTGTACTGTTTCTCTTGTGTAGCCTCTTCACTTGTCTCAGTTTATATCAATCGCTGGCACTTACGTTGTTCAATATAATTGAAATCTTCATCAACTTGTCGATTTCATTTATTATACGCTTACTTTACATCTACTTCCGTGACGTTCTTTGCCAAATCTTAGTGATTGTCGAAAATTGAATTACAGGGGCTGCATATTACATTGCATTTCATAACATGCTGAACCATTCTATTACAGAATACTCTATCGCAGGAACTCTACCATCAGAGTTACTCGCGCGTTGGTGTGGTGTTTGCTTCAATCACCAACTATCACGAGTTTTACACTGAGTTGGACGGTAATAATCAGGGTGTCGAGTGTTTGCGTCTACTCAACGAAATCATCGCTGATTTCGATGACTTATTAAGTGAGGAGAGATTTAAGTCAATTGACAAGATCAAAACGGTGGGATCTACGTACATGGCCGCCGTGGGGCTCATGCCCGACCTTCGAATCCTTGATGACGATGAAAGCACGGCGGGATTACATTTGAGCACTCTCGTTGAGTTTGTCTTCGCCATGCGGGATCGTTTACTCAATATTAACGAGAATAGTTACAATAATTTTATGCTGCGAGTTGGTATGTCTGACAAAGTAGCCATTAAATTAAACAGCTAACAATTAAACATCTACAGGTATAAACATTGGTCCAGTTGTGGCTGGTGTAATTGGTGCCAGGAAACCTCAATATGATATTTGGGGTAATACTGTGAACGTTGCCAGTCGGATGGACTCCACCGGCCTGCCCAATCATACACAGGTGACCGAGGAGGTTTACCAGGTGCTGAAAGCCTACCCGTATGAGTTTCAATGTCGTGGAAAAGTCAAAGTGAAGGGCAAAGGTGATATGACAACATACTTCCTTATCGACCGTAAACAACCAGGGACGATGCGCGTTGAAGAACTCAACAACTTCCGTAACACGGCCGCGGGCGGCAATAATGGCGCTATTGGTACGTATACTTCGACTGGCAATAATATCACAACGCCCCCTCAAACCTATTGTACAAGCTTTCAATGTAGTTTTGTTGTATCGAATGGTTTCCTTCCAGAAGCAACACTGTTGTGATGTTATTGGGCTCTGTAAACACACGAATATTTTTTCTGTTGAAATATTTTACTTTTATTTTACTAGTAAGTACTAAAGTTTGCGAATGATGCCTCCCGGCTTGTGCACTAGAATAGTAACATTTTACCATGCACTCGTTAGATATATTCTTAGTACCTTTTTTTCTTTTTATCTGCACTAGTTCAAAGTAGTCTTAACGTTGTTATGTTATTAAAATTATATTTTATTTATAGCTATGAACAATATGTACGGTGGTGTGGCCACGCCGCTGGCACTTCTTCATGGGGATACACCCAGTGGACGTAAACACGCCGCCCCTTTGCAGAGTCGCAGCAGTTCGCGGGACGATACGTTCGGATTGCGGAATGCAATGCGCCTGCCACCGCTGCGTGAGACGAGCTGCCACCGCGGGGAGATGAACATCGGGTGCGAAAACGAACCCCTCTTGCCTCCACCTCCACCACCCAGCCACTCCAAACCTCGCCCTCCAAAACCCGCAGTCAGCGCGGTTGAAAACATATCAGCACCACCACCTCTGCCCCCGCACAAAGTTTTATTGTACCCTGTCGGATCGGCTGCCCAAACGGGTGTCGCCAAAGATATGAAGTACACCCCACCGTGGCCTCGTCCCCAAGTGGTACCCTCGCTGCATGGTAACTACAGTAACCATTCGGCTGCGCACGGAAATAATCCGTACGCCAGCCTTTCTTCATCTTCCATCGGTGAAAGAGAAACCAAACCGTACTTGAAGCCACTGCCAAAGCCACCAGGAAAGGAGTCCCCTAATCGCCATAGGCGAAATCCCTCAGGTGGAAGTGGTATACAAATGACATCGCAAGTTATGCAACCTGTGCCCACAAGTAGTAAGTTGGGCGCAGTGGATTTGAGCAGGTTCCAAGGGACTCCTCGTCCTAACATAAGTCACTCTCCCTTAAGACATTCGCCCTTACATAGGCACTATTCAGACGAAAGTCTTGGTGGCATGGGCGGTGGTTACACGCCAACTGCACCGGCACGAATTCATAGTTCTGCGGACGAAATTAGTTCGCTGAATCATTCGCCAAGCATAAGCAGCAGCGACGAAAGTTATAGTAGGACGACTGATGCGGACGCCTCTCCATGCGTATCCCCTCCTCTGCCTGTTACTGACGCTCAACAATTCATTTTCCCGTCAGACATCCAAGTGAATCCTTGTTCTAGTCCAGAGACATCACCTCGCGCCTCCATGGACTATATCCCACCCAATTGCTCCTTGCGTCAAAACTCAACTGACAGAAAGAGGAATAATCTTCCCCCCGGTGCTATTTTGGCATTGGCAAATACTTGTAACACAATGGATTCCTCTGTCATAACAAGCCCGCCAATGTTAGACGGGGAAGACAGTTACCGTGGAGAGTCGTGTGCAAGTTTCGAATTTCTGACGAAACCGAAAAAGCCGGTATCGTTATCGCGTGGTTTACAAAATGGAGCAGTAAAGAAACACAATCGCAGTTTAGAGAAGAGACATCGCAATGATTCGGACATTGAGTGCAATAAAATCTCCGCGACGGCGTGTAAACGCTCACCAAGCTTTAAAGAAGCTGAAGAGATCAAAGAACTTCTCATTAATGACTATGCCAGCAGCGAAAGATCAAATTCGAAACGGGATGGATCCTGTCAAACCGATAATAAGCGAAGGAACAAACTGCCCTCCCCTAATACAAAAGTTAATAATACGGACGAATATGTCGGGCCTTTCGAAAGAGAGATCCAGAAACTCCTCGACGAACAGAACCTAATGGCGAACATCCCACCCAAACTGGAGGTGACGCAGTGCAGCAAGGACATCGCGCTGGAGCCTCTCGTCAGGTATAACAATAACCATCAGGTGGGACTCGCCGCCATTCAGGCGCTCGCGCTCGGACTGCGCGTCAATCCTACAGGCAGCGTCACGCTGCAATGCATGCCCGGCGGACAGCAGCAGGTAGTAAGCAGCAAGGAGGGCTCGTTGAAGCGCGGCGCCGCTTCGCCACAAGCGCCCACGCAGAGCAAACTGCCCAAGGTTGCGGTTGCGCCTCGCGACAGGTACCTTTAGCAACAGAAATCATCTAAAAGTTACTCACCAACATCAAATACTCACACTACCAAGAGATGTCGACCAAAAACTTAGCAACTAACAAACGATGCATGAAACACACTTCGACAACCCGAAAATATAAAATTAAACATTCACTTACCATGTCACTCTCTTTGACAATGCACAAAATCACTGAACACAAACCGAAACTAACAAACTCCATGCTGCTTGCTAGTAATGCTAGTGCTCTCACCCATAATTTACATGTTCACCAGCTTTTTAGACATGCTTTATAGTGTTACTTCATACTATTTGAGGTCTGAAGTAAAACTGCATAGAAAAATTTACGCGTAAATTACTAGAACTTACTTCTTTGGTTTGTGTTATAGACATCCAAACGATAAGACTGAAGGGGAGCATGACTGCTTCTCCGGCCATGAATGCCACGAGGACTGCGAGCATGAACATGAGTGTGAGGATTGCGTCGATTGCGTAATGGTTGACATGCCGGGTGCAAGAAATCATGACGACGACACTGATCTTGAAAGTTTTGAACACGCCGAGCGATTGGCGCAAGAGGAACAAGACAAGGTTAGTAGAAAAATATTTCAATTTTGATTCAAACTTCATGTACAATCATCTGCGCATGTAAACAATACTTACTTACTTTGTTGTTGCAAGCAGCATATCGATAAGGAATTAGTAAGTATTAGGCATTGTTTAAGGGATTTAAACAATATTAATATATATTTTTTTTCAATTTCACAGGAAGAAGAAGTAAAGCGTCTCCTCGAGGAGAAAGTTCAAGAAAAGTTGCGAAGTTTAGAAGAGGAATCCGAGAAACGTAATGCAAGTGGACGTTCCGAACACAGTCATAGTGGAGGTGGCGCAGGCAGCCAGTCGGAATGGAGCGAGGACGAAGAGGGTGGCGCATCCGAACCTCTGCTCAACGATCGCGAGTCTACTGGTTACACCACGGACGATCCTGCACTCGAAAATATTTCCATGTTGAATGAAACAGGCCTTACTGACGCGGAAGGTGCTCTGAGTGATGTGAACTCAGCGTATAACGATCACAACCATGATCCTGATATGGACGACAACACGAGTATGTCCTCTCGTGCATCGTCGCGCATCTTTGACTCGGACGCCATGATGTCGCTCGACTCCTTATCAGCGCTGTATGACTCCGAGTATGATAATTGTTATCGCACCGATGATGATCTAAACGCCATGCCTGACCTAGACAGACTGAACTACTTCTCGGGCCCGGTGAATGAGGTGCACTTGGCCAACATCCGTTCAATGAGCGAGAGTATCACGAGGAACTTTGGGCAACCGCGCAGCGAAACCGATCCGGATAGTGATGTTTGAACCGATGATGAAGAAACAAATGACATACGATCTACAGCAACTAGGACGTTGCGTTGATTTCTATTTATCGGTATTTCTCGGTGTTTTGTGATACATTTACATATTATCTGATGAGTGGTGGGCTGAGAAGGCAAAAGAAATGAATAGAATGAACGGTTTAGCAGTGCCAACCGATGACGTAATGATTTTATTTAACTGTTGACGAACGTACACATCTAGAACAGCCGCCATTTTGTAGTAGCATTAAAAACTAAATTAAACCGTAGAAAGTGCAATAGATGGGTGAGGATGCTTTGTGTAAAAACATTTGTATGGTAGATTTTTTTACGATTCATCAAAATCGATTTCACGAAATTATTGAATAAATAATAGGTAATAATGGCAAAGATGATGATGATACTGAACACATTGGAAAGCGAAAACTCGAGTCAAGATCGGAATTACATAAAATCGGTTTCAGTGCCTGTTTGCGCCTGTTTTACTTACTCGAATACTTATATCGTTGTACTTACTTAGATTGTTTTTATTTTTATGTTACCATGATGACGTCAAACTCTCATCAACGTTGCAATAATCAAAGGACTCTCCACCCTTTTGACATACATACTCCGATTGTCTATTGTTTGTCTCAAGAAAATAAGTAAAATTTGTATAAAAAGCAAACCTACATTTCTGTGATCACTTTACTAAGTGTATAGCACACTCATGCTAATTAAATAATACTAATAACTAATGGTAATTAAGATTTTCATTATTTTTGCAACAATGAAATGCGATATATCAATACTTGTACATACCGTGCACACGTGTCTCATGTTTACGATCCGATCTTGATGTTACTACACAGGTACACGCCAAGACTCTCATCTCTCTCATTCGCGTAAATTCTCATTGAAATGTTAACAATTATTACTTATCATATACTGCTATAATTATGATACCAATCACTAAACAAGACGATTACCATATGCGCCGTCCTCAGGTGGGAGAGGCGCGCACTACTCAATCATACAGGATTTATATGTGTTTATATAGTATTTATTATATACTTCATCGAACATTGTTGTGTTGTCGAAGACAGCGATGGTGGTCCGCAACAAGATGGCCGCTATTGCTAGGCATTGGAAGCATAGTTAGATTATTATTTATGATATTCCACGAGGAGCATGTGAAGAGGATGCGTTTGTCCATATTGTTCAATCTATTTTTTATTATTTGTCTATGCAGATACAGATGGTTTATTTTTATTCGATTCTTTCGTCTCTGATTTGTATATTTATCCATTGTAATGTTGAAATGTTTTTAATAATTTATTAAATGCTTACCATGTCCTATAATATTGTGTTTTTATGAAAAAAGTTCTCCTCTCTCTTCTATTGTACAGTGAAATCATTTTTGAAGATTTGCTCTATGATTTTTGATCTGTTTAAATTTTTATCATCACCTGTTGTCACATGAATAGTCGTTGAATTCTTAAAAGGACTTATTGAAACTTGTAATAAATTCCAGAGAAAAAAATTGCTCTAGTTTTGCAAGGTTGTGTCACATTAGCCGTATTTACTTTGATTTTGATGATATTTTTATATTTATTACAATAAAAGTATTGCACTATTGTTCCAGTAAGTTTTAAAATGTATTAGGGTCAATTGTTAAGTAAATAATTTAGAATTACCTTTGATTTCATCTCATTCATTGACTAGTTGTTCTGATAAGATGTAAAAGATTAAAAATACAGTAGTTATAAATGGCTGCCACAAGGCAAGAAATTCCAGTACATACTAAGAAAGCTTTTTAGATCAGATCTAAAGAGTTTTAAGCTTTGAGATAGATGAAAAAGATGCCATCTGAAGAACGGTTAAATAACTTTTTGAATGAGAAAATGGCGACAAAACATATTAATCGTTCAGTTCAAATGACAATTAGCAAACAATACATTGTTAGCATTATTGGTGAGTAAATTTGCAATACGTTTGAAATGCTGTTATATTTTATTTTCTTTCAAAAGTATCTTTTGGTTGTGTCTGTGCTGGCACCGTTCTTGCCTGGACATCATCAGTCCTTCCACACATCACTAAATCAACAAACAACCACACAAGTACCTCTGGAATTAATACCGCTTTAGCAAACACTACTTCTTCAGTGACTACACCAATATTAACTGATAACTTCTTAGTGTCCGACAGTGAGGGTGGATTGATTGGCTCCATACTCGCAATTGGAGCTGTTTTGGGTGCTTTACCAGCCGGTTACATAGCGAAACAAATCGGTATCAAAAAAGAATTCCTTATAATTGCCGCTCTATTTGTTATCGGCTGGGGAGGAACAATACATCATTCCCTCGAAACGATTCTCTTGGGCCGTTTTGTTGGTGGTGTTGCCACAGGTGCAGTATGCGTGTGTGTACCAATTTACGTCAGCTCAATTGCAAGTGTTTCTATCCGTGGAATCCTCGGAAGTTTCTTCCAAGTGTCTTTTTGTTTTGGTATTTTATTAGTTAATCTCGTGGGCGGATGTGTTCCATGGGCGGATCTATCATACTACATGATTGCTTTACCAGGAGCATACTTTGTTGCGTTGTTATTTATTCCGGGTATTGATTTGGACAACGACGATTCTTCACTTGACCACGAAACTGGAACTTTATCATTATGGCAACAATTGTCAAAGAGAAACAATGTTAAAGCCCTCATTGTTGGTCTAGGTTTAGTGTCCTTTCAACAACTAAGTGGAGTAAATGCTGTTATATTCTACACTGGTGGCATTTTCTCAGCTGCAGGTAGTGCGCTGTCTCCAAACGTCAGTACAGTCATTGTAACCGGTGCACAACTAGTCATTTCGGTAATTTCCGCCGCCATGATTGAAAAATTCAACCGTCGATTGTATCTACTAGTTTCATCAATAGGTATGGGACTAAGTTTGCTTCTCCTTGCAGCGTACTTCATCACAAAGCCTCTTTTACCAGGAGTCCTGCCACTTGTTTCATTAGTGTTGTTCTTTTTGACATATTGTGCAGGTTATGGTCCATTACCATGGCTAATGTTGGGTGAAATTTTTAGTCCTGAATTTAAATCAGTTGGATGTTCAGTAGCAACAACTTTTAATTGGTTGTTAGTGTTTGGAGTCACTTCAGTATTTCCTGTTTTATGCTCGTCCTTCGGAGAGGGTTATACGTTTGCACTTTTTGGGGCGTTTAACGTCGCTGCAGTGATATTTACATACACAAAAGTGCCTGAAACTAGAGGTAAAACCAGCGAACAAATACAAGCTAGTTTTCTTTAAGATAAACAAACTGAAAATGTTAAAATAAAATAATTTATTGTTGTTTATATTTACATAGCTATGAAATCAAATTATATTTATATACAAATTGTTACTTATAGCAATAAATAGTGACTAGTTGATTATTAAAAATTAAATTTAACTTTTGTTTTCGTCTTAATTGTCATTCATTTTCCTATAAATGACTAGATTTCATACATTTATATATTTTTAGACACCAGGTGTTTCAATATTAGTTTATATAATAATAAATTCGTTGTTTCAATTAATTTGAAGATTTGGTACCGAAAAACAAGACATTTATTTGTTTAAATTGATTTAAAAATTAGTTTGCTCTCAAAATAGAGTCCTGTACAGAGTCAGAAAGTTAGGCCTTCCGGTACCCGGGGAAAACAAAGTGTCATGGCGGCATCATTCCATTGTTGCCATGCACACGCATGTGTCTATTGAGGTTACCGCTTTGTGAGAAACGTAGCAAACACAATTTGCACTCATAGGGTTTCTCACCGGAATGAATGCGCAGATGTTTTGTGAGGGTACTGCTGTCGGAGAATGCCTTGCGACAGAGGCGGCAGCGATAAGGACGCTCGCCGCTGTGCGTGCGCATGTGCGTCGTTACCGACGAGGACTGCGAAAAGCGGCGGTCACACACCGGACACCGGAAAGGTTTCTCACCGCTGTGCGTGCGCACGTGTGCGGTTAAATTCGCTGCCTGCGAGAAGGACTTGTTGCAATCCACACAACGGTAAGGTTTTTCACCGCTGTGCGTACGCAAATGGGTCTTGAGCGTGCTGGGGCGGGCGTAGGACTTACCGCAGATACGACATACGTTTGGTTTAGCAGCTGCATCAAGCAGGTCACCATTTCCACATTCACCAACCCCAGTAGGAGTAGTGTTTGATTCATAAAATGTCGGATGAGAGGAAAGTGATGCTTTTCGACGCGTTGATGGCGTCGTTTGGGTTGCAGGAAATGGTTTGAATGTTGGAGATGGATCGTTTTGTGTTGGCGGGGGCCGGAAGTCTGCGGTAAAAGAATAGGTTGCACCAGTGTATCCAGGGCTTAGTAGACCAGATTGGTAATTCATTGGGGTTGAGACTTGTGGACTCGGATTCCATTGAACCTGAAAAATACAAGTTATTTCAGCATTAATTACAATACTAAAGGTTATTTTTTAATAATTACCTGTGGATATGCCAATTCTGTTGAAGGATAATTACTAGGATGATACCCGTGCATAGTCATGTTCATAGAAACATTTACAGACATTGAAGGGAACATAGGTGGCGGCTGAGCGTTAAAGTTCTGATCACAGATCCCTGAAGCATACCCGCCTGGGGAAAGCAAGACCTGTGGGTGATACAAGTGTTGTTGGTTCTCGCACTTTGTCGGCGGGTGCGTCTCTTGCCCAGGATGAACCACAGCGTGTTTCAATGAAAGTAAAACATCCGCCACTTCAGCGGGTTGTTTTGTGTCTCCACGAAGTGAAAAAACTTGTTGATTATGTGGATGGTTGTGACTGTGATGTGATAGACCCAAGTTTCCCAGGTCTTGTCTTTATACAAATACAAATAAACAAATATTTAAATCTAAGCGTTTTAACTAATATTTTTGCTTACTTGTATGAATTAGAATTTCCAGAACATGGCGAAAACGGAAACAACGAAGGTAACGGTTCCAAATCCAAAGGTAATGTGAAAGAACCCATGTCCTCAGTCCAGCAAGTGGTGAGCTCGTCCTGTGGCACTAACAATCCGCCGGAATTAGTAGAAATGGCCGAAAGATCGTTTTGTGGGTTGGCACAGGAGGCGGCAGGCACCGCCGTCGCTGGTAAAGTTTGCACCGTCTGCAACGCGGGGAGTGTGGCGCTCCAGTTGCACTCGAGCTGCACCCCAAACTGCGGGTTGTTCGGCACGTAGCTTGTCGACGGGTCCATCGTGAGGCTGTCTCGCTCTCTTCGAGGAGAACAGGAACAACCCACCGCCCTGCGCAGACACGTGCCGTGCAATACACCTGCGGAACAAATATAAACGTAACTAATATGGGTATAAAATAAAGAAGAACATTCAATTGTAGTCAATTTAACGAAGAAAACAGTGAAAACAGAAAAAAAAAACGAATGTCTTTATTGACTTTTAAAGAAATAACTTTTTTCTACACATTTTTATAGCAGACATTTTAATTTTAATTTGGCGAAAGCAATCTCTAAAAATTAATTAATTTTGCTATAATAAAATGCCTTAAAAATCGACTTTATGAAATAGTTGCACCCCAAATTATTAAAAATTGGATTCAAAAAAGATTTAAACGCAAAACTTTCTCTGCAAATACTATTTTATTTTGTCTTTTCTTTTCCGTGACAGTTAAAACCTAACTACAAAATATTATCTTCTGTTACATTTATCTACCTATTAATGTAACTCATTTCAAATATGCAACTGATTTATTTTATAATTAAATAATCTAATTTTTTGTTAATAAATGAGCGTTGATAAAGGCAGGTAAAGTACCCACACGCAAGGCCAGCATTAGGGGATGTTATTTTAGGGGTGGTGCGTCAGCGTATAGCACACCGAGCTCCGGGATTCGCTGGCGGGCAGCCATACAAATGTCTTTTTGTCGGTTAAGCGGGGTGCTCACGCTCGTCGCCATGACGATCAGCGGCGGTCGTTAGGCACTCACAAGCATTGCCACCCCCACCTTATAAAGTTACCGTACAACCACGCTACCGGCACTGTTCAACGTTTTGTTTTCGAGAACATCTCACATTGAACAACAGAGTTTCAGATCAAAATACAGCAAATCGGTGAAATACAATCAAAACGAATAAAATTTTATATAAATTCCTAACAAAATCAAATATTACTAACTTATAAACAATTACTTACTTGATAATTATATGGATGATGTTAATTTAAACATTAAATGTTCTTTTTGATAGTTTCTGCACTTCCAAACGCAATTAAATTGTTTTCCACTGCACTTTATCATGTTTACCACTTCATAAATTATTTATTTAATTAAAATAGTTGTTAATTAATTACACACTGTATGATTTTCTAAATCCTAATAGAAAAATGTTCGTATTTAATGTGTTGACGAGCACAGAATCAAAAGAAAAAGGCGCGCGGAGGGTGCGCGGACAAAATTAAAGAAAACCCACAAGTTTTCCACGAACACGAATGAAGCACGTCACATAAACATCGACAGCGTGATGTTCGCGCATTTTCATCCACAATTTTCATTAAAAACATTATTTAGTGACATTAAACTTAACAATTCGTTAAAAACACATTTATCCAAAATGGCGTCTAACACTCAACACACAAAATTTTTAAAAATTATTATTCAAATAAATTACACATATTCAAACACATTAATTAGTAAAAAAATACATTTTTATAGTTATACGTGTTAATTAAAACAAAATGCGTTTAATAGATTCGAGTTGACGTTTAACCACTATCGTCACGACTGATGGACTGATTGGCGGCCACTCGGGTAGTGCTTGACGAACAACCGATCGTGTCCATCTTGTGTGTGTATGTGTGCGAATGCTAATGTAATGCGGTCCTCGTTGGTTGCGTTTCTTTTTGCTTGCACCCCGCACACACACACACCAGCAGGAACAAATTGTAATTCGATACCCGATGAATATGTGAGCGGTGAACACTGTGCGAGAGTGTGGAATCATCCCCTCTATTATCTATCAAGTATCAATCCTAGGAGTGAATACTAAACGCGACTAATTTGATGGTTGAGTGTTTATTCAAACGTGCAAAGGTAAACATTGTGTTACAACTATTGTGGACATAGAAAAAACATTTAGAACATCTGAATATATTTAGAAAACTGATATTAATTAGTTAATTCACGAATTAGTTCCAAAAATACGTTGAAGCAGAATTTTTTTTTTTTTGAATTTGCAGACATTTTTTTAAATGTATTAATTTTTATGATTTTATGTTTAAATATTAGGCAATTTTAATTAAACTGTTTTACTTAACCATAAATGTTACGCCTAAAGTTATGCAACCAATAATACTCATTGCTTTCAATGAATATGATTTCTAAATGTAGGTATATGTTGTATCGTGTTCATTGATCGTGTTTTATTCACTTTGATCGAATGATTACACACGTGTGATCCAAGGCACTCCAAGTCATCACCGCCAGCCACCTGACTAAATAATTTAATACTCTTCTTTTTGTCCTCCCGTCGCTGTGGTATTTAAGTATTGAATGAACGGATGAACACTGCGTTCACAGTTCACATTTTAAACAATATGATACGATATATCCTGCGTGTCTTACTAGTGACTTTTTTTTCGGTATTAATAGGGTGTAGTGTATGCGCAGTGTTCATTGCGAAGTGAAACGAGATGGAATGGATCGCGTCGAGTGTGCAATGAACTGCAAGTCCCGATAATCCTATACCACCACTATGCCGACGAACGTCGAATACCGAACATTCATTCATTCACTTCTTGTGCTCAAGAAGTCAAGAGTATAACCTGAAAAATAAAAAAAAAATAAAAGGTTTTTTTTTATTATATGCGCATTTTAGTAGTGTACACGCGAATATCGGATGATGTTAGGCATTAAGGATGATTGGGCGACAGGACAAGACCTCCCTGAAGCTATAGGTACATACAATATTCTCATGAGCTTTACATAACCTAAAAATAAAACAAAGTTTTAGTTTAAGTTTAAGTAAAATCAATGTATACATTTTTACGTTACGATATATTTTGATTACTTAACGTATTATCAAAACAATTAGTACTCTACATCAATGTATTACACCAGATTAGTAATAAAGTCGTAACACGTGTTTTACACGTGCAAACATCAATGTATCTTTGCCATCTCGGCCACCCACTGACACGTGTCACGGTGTAACAAAATATAATTTCAATCGAAAAGTACAACCGCAAACTAACCACTGTGATTAAGATCTTTACATAAATATAGGGTGCATTACTTTTCCACGCCCCTAACGTTGTCAAACATCATACAATCATTGAGGGGATGATTATATCTCGTAACTTTATTTACTTAACGTGGTTTTAATCAGGCGGTACACCAGCACTAGATTTATATCTATGAGGATCAGTTGAGGATGAAATTAAAAGTGTTACATCACTCTGAGGGATAATCAGTCGACCAGTAACAACCCGTAACGAAAAAGATCACAAAGATTAATACTTTAATCAAATAAAGTACAGATTATATTTTAATCAACAATGTGAACAAATTAATCTACAGTTATAACAATAATAAATATAAATATACATAGAAAATAACCAAGAGAACATGTTGCAAAGAAAATCCACACATTTTCTTGTCCGATAACATTAAAAACAAAACAAAATCCAAGCCATAGTAGCCATGTCCAACTATCATAACCTGCATTCATCCACATCTCCTCTAACCAATTATTTTCTGCTTGATCTCTTTTGTTGCCTTTGAAAATATCAATAAAACAGACACTTAACATATTGTAACAACTTAAAATTACTCCAAAACTAAGAAGTGGTATCCACGATGTCCATTTGATGTTTTGTGACAGAGCAGATAATACCGGGCCGTTCGCCATTTTGAAATCGTGATTCAATTTTTTCAATTCAAAAGTTTCGATCATTTTAACATCAGCTGATACAATCTTTAAATAAATTGTGGTTGGGAATAAACCAAATATTAACAAAACAAAAGATACCACTATAATAGTATTACGAGCTGTTTTTCTGTGGCAGTTATTCGCAATAATGTGTTTATAAAATCGAAGAATGAATAAAGTACTAAAGACTTGTATAAATCCAAGCATAATCAGTTCTGTATTGGCTGTGAGCAACTGACACGTTGTGCATTTAAATGTCGGCCATGATACTTCCTTAAACATTAGTTTTGAGGTTATGACATTGTTCATTAATTCAATCATTCTGAAAATATCTTTGGCGTATAAATAAATAATACTTGCAGGCGAAAATTCTTTAAAAACAATTAAAAATAAATTATGTGCTATTTTCTTCCGCCATTTTGTTATAATGTTTTTAAATGTTTTGGCAAACGGTATATTTTTGTATTGATCACATAATATTCGAAAATGGTTATCAACCATTGTTGAATTCTTCAACTTAATTAAAATATCTTTTCCATCTAATTCTTTTTTGTTTGCTATTAAAAATGGTGGCGTTTCCGGTAGAAAGCAAACCAGTAATATTAAAAATGCTGCAATTATTGCCAGAGCAATAATGTTTATTATAACTGTGTTTTGAAAGCATTTTTCTGCGAAATAACTGATAAAAACACCGAGTGCAAAAAATCCACGTTGTGATTGATCCAATGAAGTTTTCTCAGCACAAGTCAATAATTCTTTGATGTACAGTGTTAAAATAGAAGTTAGTCCACCTAAAGAGAATCCTGTCATTCCACGCACAATAATATGAGTTTGCAGTGGCGTAGTGCAAGTGGTAATCGCTTCTATTACTTCCGATATTAATAATGGTATACAAATTATTATTAACGTGAGTTTTCGGCCAAATTTACTTGAAATAAATGTGCAAACAAACGGAGACAAGATGGCAGACAGTGGCATAACGGTATGCAACCATATAGTCACTGATTTGTTTGATGGTATATCCAATAGGCAGCAGTTGAAGTGAGATGTAAAGATAATTCCGTATGCAATTGATAATAAATTTACTAAAAAAAATTATGATAAATTCAAAATAATTGAAAAATAAAAAAATATTAAAATTATGAACTTACCAAAATATATACAAGCGTGAAAATATAATCGTCTGAAGAAATGTATGCCGCAAAACATTTTTGTCAAAATTTGAATAAATTAGTTTTATTAAACTTGAATTAAACTTTATAGTTGAACTAAATGTCAACAAGTTTGAATAAAGAATGAATATTAGCACGTAAATTAGTGATGAACAGGTTAATTTAAAAAAAAAAGGTGAATAATGCTTGTCAATAACAAATAAATAAAACAAATGATTAAGACTAGAATTGATTTATAAATCAATATTAACAATTTACATATTTTTATGACTATTCCTATACAATATCAATACAGTTGACTATCAAACAAAATATTGATAAATATTACTTCTTATCATCTAAGTAGGTATTTTATGAGCTGATCATGATGATTCATTAATTGATATGAGCAAATAATTTAGATTTGTTGATACTTATATCGATAACAATCGATTCAATTGATTAAACAAAGTAACACATGATAGTTTTTTTAAATTTCTATTTCAATTATCAATATCTTAAACAATATATAAACTCATAACAACTTAGAATTATAAAATATCCATAAACATTAATTAAAAATCAACAACAATAAAATCTCCTTTTTTACATTTGTTTAAGGTTATCTAACCGGCGAGCATTTGTTGTATCTCTTTCTGACTCTTTCCTTTCGTTTCCGGTACATAGGTTAGGACAAAAACAATTGCCAAAGCATTAAATGCCGAAAACAACCAAAATGATCCACCTATGCCAATTTCAGCCGAAATATCAGAAAAGAAAAACGTTAACAAAAATGAAAGGAACCAACATATTGAAGCAGAAATCGACGAAGCAATTCCTTTAATATTAGGTGGAAATATCTCCGCCATGACAGTCCATGGCAACGCACCCATACCACAGTTATACATTGCAATATACCCAACTAAACATGCCACTGGCAACCATAAAATGTCATCAACATTCTGATGATCATCTTTTAAATAAAAGAAAACACCAAGTGGTACTTCTGAAATTAACATGCCAGCTGCGGACAGGACAAATAAAAATTTCCTTCCAGCTTTATCAGCTAATATAGGGGTAACAAAACTGGCAATAACCTGCACGCCACCAACAATCATAGGTGAAACCTCCGATGGAACAGAAGATCCAGAATCGGTAAAAATTTGCTGTGCATAAAACTGCACAATATTAATTCCCGAAAACTGCTGGAACGCAAGCATAGATCCAGCAACAATTAAACCTTTCATATTTCCACGTGAAGTCAAGTCTTTAATCGATCCTCCAGAGTTTTCTCTGATCATATCACAAACCGCCATGAATTCTTGATCGATATCTGGATTACCAACATTGGAACCTCGCAATTTTGCTAAGATTTCCTTCGCTTCAGATTCTCTTCCATTCGAGACCAAATATTGCGGAGTTTCCGGCATAAACAGGAAAAATACCACAGCAAAACCAGTTGCTATGGCAGCACAAACAATGTTAAACCATAATATGGAAATGTAGGGTCCAATTACGTATGACATAAAAACGCCAGTAACGATGAATGTAGTCATGATGCCACCCATGGTACCACGTAAACTGTCAGGAGATAATTCAGCAATGTATGTTGGCAGAACAGTAAAGGTGCCACCAATGGAGAGACCCACGATGAAGCGTGCCACTAAATACAACCAAACGGCTTCTCCAAATGCGAGAATAAGGAAGCACACGATGAAGGGCACATCAATGATGATCAGCGACCATTTTCTTCCGATTTTTTCAGATGCAAATGCCGCCAGGAATGGACCAAACGTAGCGCCAAGAGAAAGCAGTCCGGCAATCCAAGAATTCTCGGAATCTGTGATTGGGGTACCCAGGGGATTATCCGAGTTGGATTTCTCAAGTTTAGGAAGCACTGGTGAGGTCCATGAAAGGTTCATGCCAGCGACAAATCCCAACATCATGGCTAGAAGTAAAAAAAAGCATCAATTAATATCTTGACAAAAAATGAGCTAATAAACTCATTTTATGATCTGTAATAAATCCGTTGGACAAAAACTTACCACAAGCCATGCAAAAATAAAAATATAACTTCTTTTTCATCCCGTCTGACGCCATCTTAACGCCAGAGTATTAAATTCAAGGTTACAACCGTAATTTTACTTTGATTAACAATCACTTATCACTTGTTTAATATACCGCCTAAAACCTGAGCACATTCAGCATATTTAAAGCAATAAATCAGCGTCGCACACCAGACTGGAAATTTACTTTGTTTGAATTAAATTATTATCATGACTTCACCATTTCATCATTTCCTATGCGCTTTTTAAATGTTTTAATATTTTAAAGAATAATTATATCACAACTATTTATATTAATATTTATAAATTGAAGCATATCACTTTGCTTTTAATAGGAAAATTACAACCGGTTTGACTTTAACTAGATTTATCACTTAGGGTACAATTTTTAAGAGTAGCGATGCGTTTGCTGTCGTGGGCAACAGTTGAGTGCGGGAATCTAATCTCAAATCATTCACGAGAACGTGCTACTCCATACAATTCGCACGTGGGATGAAGTTGTTAACATTTTTTTCTATCACGGTTTTTGCTGGTTATCCAACATGTTATTTACATGGGAATAATATCAATTAAATTCATATTTAATTACATTGATATCTACAAACTACTTGAGAGTGTTTTGATTTTGGCTTTATTGTTTTAAAGAATTTTGTTGTTTGAATCACTTTTTGGTATTAAAGCACTTGTAAGTTACACATTTTAGCGATTTTAGTTAAGTAATAAATGCGTAATCGCACCACACAACTTCAACAAAAACTGTGTGCACAATTTAATCGTTTTTAATCTTTATTAACTGCCTTAGCCAAAGCCAAGCGACAGAATGTGCGGAGAGAAAAAAGTGCAAATTCGTTTGCGTTGTAACGGTAGGAGTAGGTAAGTAATTGTAATTTATTGCTTTCGGTGTTCGCACCAATTTCCATTGTTATCACACGCATTACCAGTTGCATTGCATAGTTTGCTGCATCATTATTTTGTTATGACCCAATCAGAATGTTTTATATTTTGATTTGTGAACAAATTGTTGTTTGAAATGTTTTGATGAGTAAGTTAGTGATATAGATGAAGTATTTGCGCCAGTGTTTAGGAAATTTTTTTTCCCAAACATTTTTGATTTATCTATTCGAATGCAATTGATGGAAACGATGAGAATTCAATTGTTATTTGATGCGGTTGACGCATATCATTCTGAATTACGGAATTGTTTGTTCGATCATTATTTATCATTATGTGACACACAATCGCAATCATATCAACGATCAACATAATCACAATCGCGAACATTACAAAACAAATTGATATCTTTAAACTTAAATCAGCGATTGAACAATAATCAAATTTAGTTTGTAATATAGATAATGTAAACACATTTTTTGTGATAATTAAACGATATGTTTTTGTTTTTGACTACTATAATTTACACGATGTTATGAACTACATTTAAATTTGGACAGCCAAAACTAGTTTTTGTAAAGCTGTAATTAATAGTATTGTTATTTTAGTTATGTAAGAAGATTATTTTCGATTAAATTGGCACGAAATTATTAATAATTTTAGCATATAATTAATTTAGCAATGAAAAATCACAAACAGGATACAATTAATCGATTAATGATATGTGAAAATGATTCCCATGTTCGGTGATACACGCGTTTCCCAAAAATCATTGTTTACCAAATTTCAATTAAATACAAGAGATGGCGCTGCAATGCACTTTTCTAAATAAATATTAAAATGCAACGTGCTTATTTGCATCTATAGTTGATCGCATGTTGTGGACAATTATTTTCATGTTATCACAAAGGTTTTTATATTATCAAACTTTTATACTCTAAAACAAAAGTGTAAAGAAGTGTAAAGAAGTGGTGTAAATATTTTCTTAATAAATATAATTTTGAGGTTACAAGCAGCAAATCAACAAATTTTGTTTAAAATGAAGCCTTGTACAGCTAAATGTGGAAGAAGTGCAATATTAAAGGTAAGTTATACTCAATAACTTTATGAAAACCACTTTAACAATATATAATAAATATTATAGAGGCCGAAAACTGGTGACACTCTCTGTAAGGAATGTTTTTTTCAAGCATTTGAAAATGAAATCCACTTTACAATTACTCGATCAAATATGTTTACACCTGGAAGCACTGTTGCAATTGCCGCCTCAGGAGGAAAAGATTCTACAGTGTTAGCTTATGTACTAAAAAAACTCAATACCAAGTACAATTATAAATTAAATCTTGTTTTATTATCAATTGATGAAGGTATAACTGGATACAGAGATGACAGTCTTGAGACTGTCAAACAAAACAGAGATGACTATGAAATGCCTTTAAAAATATTATCATATAAAGATTTGTATGGTTGGACAATGGATGAAATAGTAGCAGCTGTTGGTAAGAAGAACAATTGCACATTCTGTGGTGTTTTTAGAAGGCAAGCATTAGACAGAGGTGCAATTCAATTAGCTGTTAATTACTTGGCAACTGGTCATAATGCTGATGATATTGCTGAGACTGTCCTGATGAATATATTGCGCGGCGATTTGGCCCGATTGAAGAGGTGTACATCCATAATAACTGATAGTGGTGATGGAATCCCAAGAGTTAAACCACTTAAATACACATATGAAAAAGAAATAGTAATGTATGCCTACTTTCAAAAGTTGGTTTATTTTTCTACTGAGTGTATTTTTGCACCGAATGCGTACAGAGGACATGCAAGGGTTTTATTAAAAGATTTAGAGAAGATGGATCCAGCTGTTATTATGAATATTATACAATCAGGTATTTATTCAGCAACTATTAATTGGATCTGATAAATTGTTAGTATTATTTTGTATTAGGTGAATCCTTAAGTGTAGCAGAAACAGCTTCGTTGCCGAAATTGACTAAATGCGAACGATGTGGTTATGGATCATCACAGAACATTTGCAAAGCTTGTGTATTATTGGAAGGTTTGAATCGTGGTCTTCCAAGATTAGGAATTGGTAAGTCCAGTCGTGCTAAGAAGATGCTTGAAGCTAACGTTGGAGTTAAAGTAGATGGGGATACAGTTAATTCTGCAAATACATGTGATACTAGACAATGCTGTTCAAAAAATGGCAGTTGCCAAAATAAATAAAAATATTTAATTCTTTATTAATCTTAATAAAGATGATTAAGATTACAATAATCGCAGAATATCGATTTTTTTTAATTTTAACGTCAACATATCAGTCGTCACTTATTAATAGACTTGAGAGAAATGAGTCTCATCTTTACTCTCTAATTGTGCTCAAAGACGTTTCAGAATCGCCAAAGATATTTTCAACAAGATTATCATAATGCTTTTCTCTTGGCTTTGATTTTGTACGCTTCGCGTCTAGAGCATTTTCTATTGCAATTGCTTCATCAATAATTTCATTTGTTGCTGGAAAAAACTCCAATAGATGTCCCCACTTATGCTTGCAAACAGCAATAACAGAACAAATAGTCAACGCTCTATACGTCGTCGTATGTTCCACATTAGACAATCCTTGTTTCTTTCCGAAGACACCATCTTTAATCACTTTACAAGTTAGTGTTCCATCAATCTCTTCAATGCCAATGACTTCCCCATCTTCAATAAAATACATTGTGCTATTACAATCTCCAACTTCTACAATCATATCTCCAGGAAGATATATTCCAACTTCTACTATTTGAAACAATTGTCGCATAAAATCGATATGACATTTAGAAAACGGGAAATGTGCTTCAATAATTCCAGCATACATTGCCGCCTTGTGATCTTGTAAAATATACGGAGGAGCCATTTGAAACAGAATCGGATCCTGTCTGCCATTGTGATAGCGATACAAATAGGTTAAATATTCAAAAATTTTATCCGCTAAGGGTTTGGAAAGGAGTTCATTCGTGCAATGCGTCATCAACAGCTTTACACTGATTGTAAATATAGAAACAGTATAATTATAGTCAATCAACAGTCGCGTGATGACAATCAACATGTAAATCAATAAAGATTGAGCCACATAGATGAGAATCAAGTTTACCATGAGTTGTATCTCAGATTTGAACTCAGGTTCAATGAGTCCAGTTGAGGTGTATACAGAAAACACTCTCAGGTAACATTTGACGGTTTTGATGTCTTCTGAGTAGTCAGAAACGGTGTACCATATGTCAAAGACAACTTGCAACAAGAACAATGTGTTATAAATGAGGAAAGTCCATTGAAGATGCCGTGGAACATTTTTTCTCACAACATACGAATTATAATAAGTGTATAGGTTACAAACTCGGATGAATTTGTTTCCAAGGAATGCCGACCGTCTGTTTACGTTGAAAATATAACCCAACGCATACAAGGGTATAATGCTGATGATATCTACGTAAAATTTGATTGATTTGATATACTTCACAGCGATTGCATCGAAGCTAGAGATAGTTACACCAGTATCCAAGTCAGTGTAAGCGGTGTGACTTCTAATGTAAATTTGTGCCAAGAAAAATATATCCAATAAGATCCACATCCACAGACAATTAATGTCCGGGTCCACAGCAAGCACGTACAAGCAATATGTTGATGAAATAGCGACAATGTGTACGTTAGTTATGTAGTTCCAGATTTTGATAAAAATATTTCCTTCGTAGACTGTTAAGTAGAACCAGGTTGCTTTGGTGTTGCGTGTTTTAGTAGTACCAGTTTTATTAGTGCTGATGGAAGCGGGTTCATCTCCCACTAGTCGGAACACGTTAGTCATCTCTTTTATATACTCCCGCTGTTGGACAAAAACATTATGTATTCTTGTTCTCACCATTGTGTAAATTCCTGCGATTTCATACAGGTAACTTGTTTTCATACATAAAATTTTCACATGGACCGATGCAGTCACTCTAATAGTCTGTCTCATTTTCCCACGAGGATGGAAACAACCAAAAATACCTCCAGTGCGTAAGGTACACAGGTATAAATCAGCAATATATACATTAACATGACCACTTTCGACAATATATAAATAATCTTGCACATCGTTAGTTCTTATGATATCAGCATCTTTCTTGAAGTACATTTCGTCTAGGTTAGTAACCATTAAGCGATAAAGAGATTCTTCTAAACTGTTAAAAAAGTAGGACATCATTAAAGCATCTTTATATAAACTTAAAAAGATTTCCTCCTTCATGAACGGTGAGAAATTTTCAAAAATTTGTTTCGGACTAGCTCCATTACTTTTCTTCCAATAGTTCCCAACATGCTCAATCATCTCATTTTTGACTGCGTTGGAAATAATCTTTCTTGATGTAAAACCCAAATAATCTCTAATGGCATCTTGATGTTTGGCTGTTCTGATATTTCCATGTGACTCACAACCTAGCACATATGTCATAAAGAACATCTTCATGATAAAAATATACAAAACTATCAAGAGTTGTTGAATATTTTCATAGAAACTGAAGGATGAATAGGTGTATGTTATGGTCATGCTAGACACTACATAGTAGATAATGAGATACATGTAGTTTTCTTTCATATACTCCAATGAAGTATACATATTGATCCAGCTATACTCATTAACGTCAAAAGTGTCCTTTGTTGTATCACAGGTAAAGATCAAGTAGAGATGAGTTGTGGTTGCGTAGAAATACATTCCAATGATGATCGCTCCAGTCACCACGTAGTAAATCTGATATTTTGGATTGACACTGTTTTTAATATAAACAAAGAGTTTTGCTGGTCTATAGAGTGCCAAACTTCTGACAATAATCAACATTACCAAATAAGCTCGCATGGGATTACTATGGAACAATCCAACAATTCCTAGAGTTTGATATGGAAATGTTGCCATCAAATCAGTAGGGAATGAGGTTTCCACATAGTGTTTGAATGTTCTTGATAATTTAGTCACTTTGATACCAGATTCGTTATAGTATTGCACGTGGCCACGAACGTAAATATCAAGTAGACCCAAAAACCAGAAAAAAGTGAGGAGTGCGCCGCATGCTCCAACCATGCAACTGTAAACTCCAGACATTACTGAGAACAGTACAAGGGCGACTTCAAGAATAATAAAAATAGAGCGAAAGATCTCGTATCCAAGGTAGGCGTTTGAATTGGGATCGTATGTAGTGAAAACCAAGCGGCGGAAAAACTTATCAATTTTAGTAAGACCATAGTAGAAGGAAACATTTCGGCAAGAGTGTTCCGTTGAGTATGTAAAGGTTGGAACCCTGTTGGACTTCTTTTGAATTTCTAAACTGGGTGTTACAGGTGGGGTCTTTCTTAAAATTGCTTCGTTGTCTTCTTTGTGTATTTCACAAGCTCGCTTCATCTGACGGAGATAAATTGTGAAAGTTTTAACATATAATTTTCTACTAAATTTAATTGGTTTACTTACAATTGATCCTTCCAATGGAAAAGCACGCAAAAGTTGTTTAATCACCAGGTAGGGAATGCATAGTAATATTACGGTTGTTAAAGTTGTAACTCTGACCAATGGAGGCAATTCTTCAAAAACGCTTACCACAGGAAAGCAGTTATTTTTCTCCATGACCTTCTCGATGGCCTTGTCAAAGTCACATGGTAACAAAGACCTGTACAAACAATTTCCTTCCACAATCAAATACAGATAATAAATCTTAAATTTCGAATCGTAAATCATATGTCTTTCTGGAACTACCAGCAAACTTGAGTTATACGCCAATTGTCGCAGATATCTCGGATCTGCGTCTTTGAAAAGTGTAGTGTTTCGAAAAGCTTTCATAACATACTCTCTTGTGACAATTTTTCGTAGATAAATTGATTCTTGTCCCATTATAGTGTAAATATTTTTCAGTGTTTGATTCTTGTTCAAATTCCATTGTACATCCGCAAAGTTTATTATTTTAGCTTTGAGATGCAATAAATCTTTTCGGTCGGTTATTTCATTTAGGATGTCCATGTCCAAAAGAAAATGATGAGTGAATTCCTGTAGCAGGCTTACAACAGCTGTCAATTGAATAAAACAATATGTAGCAACGTAGAAACCAACTGTAGCGATCAAAGCACTAAGAACTAGTTCATATAAGTTGATTTCCATTTTGTTGCTTATTTTCAATCCTAAGTATACAGATATCAAATGATGAAATGTTTCCGCATAATCGTCGTGTTCATATTCAACGCCTGTTATCAGTTTGTTAAGGTTACGACTCCATTCCAACCATGAATGATTGCATTGTCCATCATAACAGTTGATAATATACGAAATACACACAAATATCATAATGAATACTCCATGAAGGACCATAAACTTAGCAAATTTAGTAAAGTACAAACTGCCAATGTGCACTTTGAACTCAACTTGTTGAAAGTGTTGTACCAGTTTGTATAACTTCAGAAAACGTGGAGCTCGTAGACATGCAGCGACTTGTTCAGATAATAGAAAAGCAGTGGAGAAGTAATCATAAGGAACTGTAGCGATTACATCAAGAATGAAGAGCACTTGACGAGCTCGATGTAACATTGTATCCACTGGCTTATTACTTGAAAACCCCTAAGATACATCATTTTAATAGTATAGTAGTAAACGGAAAGCATTCTACCCTTACTTTTGGCATTGTAGTAAGCTGCACATAGAGATCCAAGAAATAAAGCAAGTCCAAAATCAACAGCAGTGGCATCAATTGCGAGCTGATTTGTTTATCAAACGCAATACATTTTGCAGTAATCAAAAACTGCATTGCAATAGCAATCAAGTTAACATAATGTAAGAACCTTCGAAAACTGGAATCTTCTTTCATGATCAGTGGGCAGCTATTCCTCAAACAAATAACATCCTTTTGCAAATCATGTCCACCACTTAAAACCAACAAATCCAAGAATCGTGATGAGTAACATTCATTGTACAAATCACGATCAGTTTCGTATTTAGCTTCAGTTTCACTTAGGGCAATCGCCCTCCATTGTTGTTTTATCCAACCCACATGAGACATTTCCACGTTTGCACCTGAATTAATCAAGTAGAGTCGTTTGATTTTTGCAAATCTTATGCGTTCTTTAACAGAGTTCATGATTTCTTTACGAATACCAGCTTTGTTTCTATACAATTCATGAATTCTTGTAAATTTCAAAACGTGTATGTGACACGTGGTACTACAAACAAATGTCCCGTTTGATATTGTTGGCATTACGCATGAAGTTGGTGCAAGGACAGTTCCGCTTTTAAAAGACATAATTGGTGCACCTGAGTTTTCAGTTGCCATTAACTCCACAATTCCACTCACGATATAAATCAGTTTAGATTTTAGTAAACCAGTGGTGAATATTATTTCACCAGGCATTCGTATCTCAGTTGTCATTACAGATGCAATTTCTCTGCGTACAGCTTGGCTGAAGTTAGCAAAAAGATGCGTGTGCATAATAGCATCCCAATAAATATCAGTCAAAACTTCCCTTTGTAGAGTCGAAGGTAACATTTTAAATATTTTCGGAGGAGAATTAACTCCTTTATACTCGCTCCAGATAGTTTTGTAATATTCATTAACTTTCTCGATTAAAACTTCATCGAATTGCAAAAGTCTCATCAGGTGATTAGTCCAGGCGTGCTCCTGCTTGTACCAAAACATGTACCGCAGTCCTCGAATGTAATACGTGATTAAATTGCCCATCATAAAAATATACCGCATAAAAAGACCAGTTGCCAACGTTAAAATGGCGAGTAAATGCTCATAATAAGACTCGTTTGAAAGAAGACCCCAATAATTATGCATCATTAATAAATGCACATAAGTGTAAAGTATTATAAGCCATGATTCATCCAGTTGACTGTCAAAAGTAATGTAGGATATATACTTGGTTATGTTATCATTGTGACATTCCAGGCAAGCCATCACATAATAACACATAACGATAATATGTACAAAAATACTTGTCAGAATCAAATGGAAAACTGTTACCACCATTTTGTTATCAATACCAGGAGAATTATTATATTCCTGCGAAATAAACATAACCTTAAAATGCATATTTTTTGTTTTAGTGTTAACTTACCATATACTTGAAAATAATTCTTATAATGCGCACCAATTTGATCAGATAAGTATACATCATGAAAGTGTAGCCATATCGCGACACCCATTCAAAATATTGCACAAAAAAGTGAATATATTGAAAGGGCAATATTGAAAATATATCTATACATATAAGCATCCAATTCACAGAACGATAAATCCGTCTTCTTCGATGATTCCTCATAATTTTATGCGCAAACAGCATTCCGGTGTGAACGGAATACACGACGTCCACGATAACAGCAGCCATATAGATAAAACTGGTTGTTTCGAGCAGCGGATCAAAACATAGCAGAAACAAATAGATATGAATGGATGCAATCAAGTCCAAAATAAATATAATCTTCACAAGGCCTGTGTATGGTAAAAAGATAATGTCCTTCCATGTTCTGTCGTATGTGTAAGTTATCTTGTCTATTAATACAATATCGTCGACACATTGTGTTATTTTCTCTTTTATATTATCCGTAGACATGTTGAAAAATTATTGCTGCGTAGCTTAATGAATACTATGACAGTTTGATAATAATTATTTGTTTTAGATAGGTATATTGATTATTTTTAATAATATTTATTTCGTTTGTTTTTAACAAAACATTTAATACATAATATTAAAGTTAGTTAAGTTTTGGCTTGACAAATAAAAACATTCAAAATGGTGAACATGTTAGTGTTATTTTTTTTCGTATGTTAAAAGAACAGACAAGAGCCCAATTTAAATTTGATTATTTATTCGCATAATTCATTTTCTTTCGTCCTGTTTTATTTTTTCCTTCAATAATTATTTACAATCAAGTAAGATTTAAATCTAACAAGTACTACCGACTAGTACGTTTCTCGTTTAATGTAGTAAGTGTCACGTGTGTAGTCGCGTGTTGAGTGTATACGTGTTTATATAATTTATTTAATTAATATGTTATTAATTATGTAATTAATCGTAATTATCAGCACCACCACGGTTATGTGTACGATTGGCACAATTGTTGATGGTCTTCTTCATTGGACATGACAATTCGACAATGTGAAAATTGAAGGTTTCTTTTTGCTTAAATTTAGAGTATAAATCATTTATAGAGTAACAAATTATAAAGAATCAAAAATATATAAATCTCTTATACAAAAATAAAGAATTTCTTGGAGTGTTGTTATTTTTTTTTTGTTGCTTTTTTTCGGTTTTATAAAAAAATAATGTTTTATAGAGGTAGATCTATCGCTTCGCATGAAGATTTGGTTAACATGAAGGTGAAAAACTGCCTGTTTCGATGTTTAAATATTAAATTAATGACGTGAGGAAATTAAGCAAACAAGAGGCTATAGGTAAGGGCAAGACAAGAAATAAACATATCACTTGGTTTGGTTTGGTTGGTTGGTTTGAGCACCCAAACCTGTAACGCAGTTCAAAATTTCGTTTGCGGCAAGTTTTGATTAATTGCGGGCTTGGTTACAATTTAATGCCCTCCTATAGGCGTTGGCGGAGTAATAGGCGGTAGATGGTTTCCACACGTTGGGAATGAAGGTGGTACAGGTGGTAGATCCGCTTGTGTACCAACATGAATAACCAGATTCATACCGATAAGAATGTGCATGAGGAAGTGACAATGGAAGAGCCAGAAACCAGGGTTATCCGCACGGAAACGGAAGATGACATAACCATTGTTAGGTACCGCAATGGTGTCCTTGGCAGGCGGAAGGTTAAATTGACGATTGAGCAGACCACGACGATCCAAATCCAGGGCGTGTTTCAAGTTAATTTTCTTCACGTTTTGATCCGGGGACCGGCCAATACCAATGACGTTAAATGTATAACCATGCAGATGGAATGGATGTGACAAGTTGGGCGATTGAACTTCATCGACAAGCACGACTTCCACAATGGCGTTGAGTGGAATATCAATCATGTGTGTACACATACAGTTTTTGCCGCAGTTTGCTGGGCGGTTATCACCGTTACAGAAACGTTCTGGAGGCGTATCTTCAAATTGTGATAGGAGTGGTGATGGTGGAGATACGTGAGAGATCTCATCAATTAAACTCAAGACGTGGTCACCTCCAGGTGCAGCTGTAAAACAAATTCCAAGTTAATAAGTTTTATGTGTGTTTTTATGATGTAACGAACCTAAAAATCTGTTATAAGTATTCGGTCTGAACAATTCCTCAGGTCTGTACACCAGGAATCTAAACGGCAAGAAGATTTTCACGTCTGGGCGTTCCTGAAGCAGGGCCCGATCGATTTTCTTTGCGTTGCGCAGTTGACTAACACAAACAGCATCACGACGTGGACGATTGCAAATGGCGTCGAGTGGATTGAGCACCTAGACAAAAAACAGTATTAATTTCCTTTTCGAATAGTTCAAGTAGACCACGATGATGATACCTACCATCACAGTTATTGTAAAAGCTATATACAAACCGCATCCACAGAAAAACAGTTAGAGTATATACAAAATAATTATATACAGTATGTACATGGTAACTTTATCAAAAATATATTTTATATATGTACGTAACAGTATTTAGTTGGCTTTATATGTAGTAGCAAAAATATAAAAATACCTCTTATAATACAAAAATAAATTTCTCATCAAGATTCAAAATTTAATAAATTTAGTTTTAGTTTAAATTCATAGTCTATAAACCGGTTAGTTACTTGTTATTTATTTGAATTCTTTAAGGTTATGGATGAAAGATTAGTTCTATCTCCATCTATAGCTTTAAATACAAATACAAAAATAGTTGTTTTTTATCTACGCACGAAATACTGATTACTAGCTTGCTATTTCTAGTCAATAGAAATTATTTACACACCACTGTTGCATTCCCAGCAATCACATTCATACCAAATTACTTGCGTAAGTTGAGTGAACGCTGATGCTTTGGCGCATGCGCAGTGGTTTGAAAATCGTTCGGTGATGTGGTGACATGAGTCACTGCGGTCACTTAAATTATATACAAGTTTACAAGTGTACGAGTATTCGTAGGAAACGTCAAAGCAAAGCGCATTGATATATACATATAATTACATAGTTTTGCTTGCGAAAATAGTGAGCGGAAGTAAAAGATGATAGCGGGTGGCATTTTTACAGCACCGGTTTTTGTGTGCGGAAACATTCACGCTTGTTTTCATCGTTCATGCAATACAATACACTAGTCGCACCACGAGAGGGCGTTACCTCTAACACACATGGGTGTGTTATGGGCGTGGTTCTCGTGAGCTGTGGGCGGTACTTACCTGGAAGGAAATATGGCGGACACTTTATTATATACATTGAGCGCGCGCTGCATTATGTACATCTTGGTAAACGATAGAAGTAAAAAAATAAATATTTAGTTTATACCGACTGTGATTGTGATACGAGTACGAGTGGCTGTGGCTCGAGATAAGGACGTCCCGTTAGTGTAAACCTGGTCTAAAAATGGCAAATGGCAAGAGATTTCAATTGGAATCGACTCGATTCGTTTCAATTCGTTGATTCAGTTGATTAGAGTTGTGGGACGTCCGCTGGGTGGCGTTGTTTAAGGAAAGAAGAACTAACTTAGAACTTAACGAATGGATCCGGTGGAGTGATCTCAGGCAGATGGTCACCACACGTTGGGAAGTTGGGTGGAATTGGTGGAAGGTCAGCGTGAGTGCCAACCTGCAATACGAGATTCATACCGATGACAATATGGAAGAGGAAGTGACAATGGAACAGCCAGAAGCCAGGATTATCAGCTCTGAAACGCAGGACTACATAACCATTATTAGGCACAGCGATTGTATCCTTTGTTGGTGGTAGTGTAAATTGACGATGGAGTAAACCTTGACGATCCAAATCAAGCGCGTGTTTGAGGTTAATTTTCTTCACGTTGCGATCAGGAGAGCGACCAATACCAATTACTTGGAAGGCATGGCCGTGCAGATGGAACGGATGCGATAAGTTAGTTTGTTGCACTGTAAAAACAAAATGGCGGGTTAAAACCCAAAACAACAAACAAAATGATGCAACTTGGAGAGTACCTTCATCAACGAGTACTACTTCAACTACAGCATTAAGCGGAATGTCGATTTTATGTGTGCACATGCAGTTTTGACCACAATTTGCTGGACGGTTATCACCATTGCAGAATTGTTCCGGGTTGATATCATCGTATTGCGATAGAAGTGGCGCTGGTGGTGACATGAATGAGATTTCATCGATCAAACTGATTACGTGGTCACCATTTGGTGCAACTATAAAAATTTCACATATTTTCATATGTTAGGTTATGTTGTAACACTTAGGTTATGTCCACGTACTTAAATGCCTGTTATACGTATTCGGAGCAAAGAGATCTTGTGGATTGTAGACGTGGAAACGGAATGGCAAGAAGATCTTGACATCTGGACGCGCCTGCAGTACACCCTCATCGATGTCCTTGGCGTTTTTGAGTTGATTGACGCAAATGGCGTCGGCGCGCTGCTCGTTGCAGCGAGCGTCCAGCGGGTTTAAGACCTTAGTGATTCGCAAATTATATGTACAAAATTCGTAACTGAGTCACTTTGGCGATGATAGTGGTGGTAATGTGATCAAAAAGTCCAAAAAGTGAGAATATACTCAGTCAAAGACTTACTTACTCACTTAGGATGACACTCTGATAATCTGGCTTTCGGATATTTACAAAATTTACAGTTTTTTATATACAGATGTGCCGTGAATAAGTATCATTCACGTTCTACCAACACCAGATATAAATATTTACGTTTAACTTTGTCAAGTATATACAGTATGTACAATTTTGATTTTGGAGGCGTGCCTCCAATGAACCGGCGATAATTTATGGTTAGACTTGAGTTAAAATCAATACTTACGATACCCTGAGGAAGACCAACGTCATATGTAGGAGCTGGAGTACTGGGTTGATATGGACCACGCGCGTATCTCAAAATTGCCAACTGTTGAGCCCTTCGGATACCACATTCTCCCAGACCACGAAGTTGGATCCAGTAAGCATCAGCAGTTTGGTCAGCGTTGATCACAAAGTCATAACGTTCACCTTAGTTTTATCAAAACAATACAATATAGGTTATTATTATAGGTTATGTTATATTAACACATACCCGAGAAAGAAATGATAGTATTGACTTGAACAGGATGCACAGGTTCACCATCAGTAGCAATTAGAGTAAGGTCATGGCCTTGGATGGTAAGCTGAGCAGGACATACAGATGCAAAAGAGTTGATAACACGGAAACGATAACGACGACCAGGTGTGATAGTAAAGACTTCAAGAGGAGTGTTGGTCATGAACCCGGTGTTGGGATCACGGAACTGGCCCTTGCCGTTGATCAACATAGATTCGGGATCTTGGCCCGTGTTGACAGCAAGGCGACCTGGGAAACGTTCAGCAGCATCTTCATGCAACCAATCGGAAAGGAGCATCACATGAGTAGTCAAATCATAATCGTAGAGATGTGAGTTGGGGTCTTTGGAAGGAGCTTGACGTACTACGACACTACCGTAAAGACCATCCATCTTTTGGAGACCAGTGTGAGCGTGCCAGAAATGAGTACCGGCATTACCAGTCCATTGGTATCTAATTTAAAAAAATTAACATAAAAATGACTTAAGTTGGAAAGATAATACCTAAAGGTGTTTCCTTGTTGAATTGGGCACTGAGTAACAAATGGCACACCATCGTAATACTGGGAACCTCTCTGCCAGATACCGTGCCAATGAAGAGTGACTTCCATACCTTCAAGATGGTTCTCAACATCAACTACAACCTTGTCACCTTCGCAGACTTGAATACTAGGTCCTGGGATCATTCTGTTTGCGGTGAGGACACCTCGTTCCACACCATCAGCCAAAACACATTGACAATGTGACCAGATTGGGTTGGTAGCGTTAGGTGTACATACTTGACAAGCCCTATTCAAAAATATTAATGAAATTAAGTTTTTAAGAAGTTTTCATAACTTACGCGCCAAGAACTGTGTAATATTCTAACGTAAAGTGGTAGTAGCACGTGCGTGGAGGTTCTCCTTCACGACACGCCCTCGCGCACTCATCAGGTGCGGATAAAGAAGGGTTACGTCTTAATTCAGCAGTTGCTGACGTTCTATAGTCTAAATGTTTATACGCAGCTCCAGTAGCTGGACCTTTAGGTTTAATACCCGCGGTGGGTGTGAATTTTACACCTGGGTGTGACTGTGATAAACCATGTGTCGATGCGAAGAAATCTGGTTGGTCGGCAAAGTCAGCCGCGTTGATGGCGTCGTGTTGCCACCAGGAGGCAGCTGTTGATTGATCATTAACTATAAAAGAAGAAACAAAACTTTTGGTAATAATTTCATCAGAGTGTAACATTGAGAAAGCACAAATTCCCTGATTTGGATGCCAAGATGGCAGTTGCGATTGCAGCGCATGATTTACGATTTGTACGTCGATTGCCATTAGTCATTCGTCACGGTCGCTGGAGAACGCCGTTCACTCGGCCAAAAAATGAATTTGCATGCTGTACGAGTCGGAAAACCAAAGTAGACAAAAAGCGCACGCTGCCGTTTAGCAACGCAAGTGAACGCCATATTTGGCATTGATCTAACGAACTACAAGAAGCGCCAACATTTCGTCCTCGCGATTCAATCGATCTTGCGTAAATAACCAAACCACAACATAATTCTCGATATTTTTAGGAATATTTTTAGGTTACAAGAGGTTAAATTGACGTTAGGTAAAAATATTATAAGTCATTTGAGTCCTTGATTAATAAAAATTTTCAGTTTTTAAGGAAATTTAATTTATGTTAAAGAATCAACGAGTAAAAGTGTTTTTGGAACTTTCAAAACGGAATTAGGAAATACCAAAACCTTTCTCGCGGTCAACGGCGCTTGTTAACGATCGGAACAAGTCAATAAATTTGAGTCTTGCGCAACACGATATCTCAGTGCACTAATTACATTCTTGTTGCGCTTAGTAACTGTGCAACCGTTTTGTTTATACACTCCACGCAAATTCCAAACACCGCTTAGTAATTTCAGAAGTGAAAATGACATCCAATTAGAAAATCCAAGAAAATTATTTATCAATCCAACGCTGCGATATCAATTCACTTGATAAAAGTGAAACTGTCCATGGAAAATGAAATTTTTGTATTGTTACGTTATTGTTTCGACCGTGGGAAGCAAAGTGAATTCATAAAAATTGTCTGCTATCACGAATCGGGCCGCCTAATGAGCCGAACATGAAGTTTCATCAGGAAAACAACAAGAAATACGCACGAGAAAAAAATCCCAGACTTTGAAATGTTAAAATCTCAATCTAGTATCTTTTATAACTTCATGCAACGACATAACCTCATTCGACAGCTTCCAGTTAATTAATTAATGCTGTATGAAGTAATCCAAGTAAAACAGTAGAACATTATAAATATTATAAACATAAAACCAGGAATATTAAAATGTCGGTTAAATTTTTTTCTCAAGAATGTTATTATAAAGTATAATGTTTGAGTACCTACTCGTACATTTACGAAACTGTGATTATAATGTTATTATTCTTGAGTAACAACAACAACATCAACAAGGCATATATATAACAAATATAAATTCACTAACATTTTGTTGCTTTATTTATTCTTCACAGCTTGTATGCAAGTATTATCATTATAATTGTTTGCAACGCGTGCATGTTGCTTCTAGACACATTGAATCGGCGATGATAAAAGTGCACGCGATCCGCGAAAGACCGTTAACTAAATGCAGAACAGTCGACTACTTTCTATTCCGACTTCTTCGCTTACTCTTAACTTCCAACTTCCAACGAGTTCTCGCCCAATGTACCTAATGTACTCCAATCTAATGGTCTAATGGTCTAATGTCATGTAGTGCTCAGTTGTTACGACTGCTTATTTTATTATATCGTTTATGTTTCGTTTATCCAAGAGAATGACAATAGAAGTGCTGCCACCTAGTGTTTAACAACGTTTTTATATGTATCTATATGAATAATGATATATATTTTTATAGTTATTATAAGTCATATGACTAATGTCACGATTTTCATGCCTCATATTCTCCCTGAGACTTTTTTTATATAACATATTTAGTTATTCAGTTGAGCAATCATATTTAAGTATGTCGTTCAAGTTGCGCACGATTGTTATAAAAATAATAATAAAATAAATAGTGCGCAGTGTAGAAAAAGTAAGTTCGGAATAATTAACATATTCGGCGTTGTGCTTTCACTAATTCCTTGTGTTTATTGGAGTTGATCGCTCCAAATTTTACATCTCGCACTGTTTGTCATTAATTGTATTTTTGGTTGTATACATTACCACGCACAATCATCTTCTTTCTAACCAAAGACACGTTTTTTGTTTTATTTTATTTTATTTTAATTCTTTAAAGAATAAAATCATGACCGTGATGTTTGAAATCGTGCGGAATTACACGCTTGAATGCAAATTATAAACCAAAACCACTGGATAGCACTCACACAAATTACAATGAGTTCATTAAATAAAACAACGCGAGTTTTAAGGTCATTTCAATTGATATTAGAATTCGCTACTTATCTTACAAATTACAAACGATTACCTGCAGCTACTTATTTCATATTTTATATTTATATTTATATTGTATCTGTTCACTCACGTTTATTCTTACACCTATTGAAATTCTTATTGAACATGTACCATATTATTACGAATAATTATTATTTGTTCAGTGAACGTTGTTTGCTTTGTTTTATTCATATGTCGAGTGAGAAAATATGTTTCCAATTTAGTTATTGTGCAAAAACCACAATTACACTTTAACCGAATCTACAAGCTACATATTTTTCTAATTATTTATTTAGTATTTGTTAGATCTAGATTATAACAATAATAATAACAATATTTCTATGCGTGTGTAGGTAATCCAGATCAAAAATAATTGAACGAAGGCAATACATTGGGCAATTGTGCAATCTTACAATCGCTTTGGTTGTTTATGATTTTCGACCGCGATATTGGATATGGCGATTGGCACGTAAAAAGTTAATTAAAACTATTACAAAATTTAACAGAGCACAAGTAAATCAATAATATAATTGTATAGGTGGGTCTAGGTCACTTAAGCACAATCTCATACGTCCACACTTATGAGCATGCATTATTTTATATACTAAAAAGTAATTGTTTTCTACGTTCACTTTTCTTGTTGTGGGTTTCACAGTTTGCATCAATTATCATATGCCAATCATGGTAAAACTGACCAAATGCGGTTGATTCGTTAAAATGTGTGAAGTAATTGCCATTCATCTTTATTTATTTTTTGTTTTTAACTAGAATTAACTATAAAATGTAAAATGTGTGAGGTAGGCAATTTTTATTGCTGTTATACTAGCGTCATCACAATGTAGTGTCGGATACTAGAATATATAACCATAAAAATGATATTTTAATAAAATGTATCAATTTTTAGCAACAAATTGCACACAATTGTTAAGTAAGAGACGTTGTTACGTGCTAATCTCATCAGTCCCATAACGTGTGCGTAATTTCGTGTTTAATTTCACATTTCAGGAAGCAGCTTGCCCGCCTCGTCTAGTCCAGTCCGTTCGGACAGGTCTACTTTCCAATTTTCTGTGCGCGCGTATAGTTTTATTTTCACTCGGTCGTTTTGCATTTATAATGATTGATAATTTCGTGCCGAGGTGCCGTTGTTTTGTTTTGTGTGTAGCTCTGGGCGCGCAAAATTCCGCTCTAATTGTTTAACACACACATGCACGAAAACAAACAGCCAAAAATACCCGCAACGCATGCAGATAATAATGAATAATGAATCATGAACAATACGAAATAAGCAAGGTACATGCACACGAGACACGTGAAACGAATGTGCACAAAAAAGTCGACCGAAAAATGTTTTGTGCACGATGACATGAACTAACAACGGTAATTTGGAGTTTCGCGTGCGGAAACCAGCGAAAACACGAAGGATGTGACAAAAAGTGCACAATTGTTGGCTGAATGTCGCGCAAATGATGATCACGCAATGACGGAAGACGAAAAACCTTGTTTGAATGTAAATTGCAGATATACTCGAAAGCAAATCGAATCAAGTGCATTGCACGACAATTAAAATGTGACATGCAAGTCTACTTCCTATTTTGAAAAATTACGAATATAAGCATTAATCCATCAAAAAAGTATATAATGCCCGTATAAAATACTAGAATTTATTAAACTTATTTATCGTGATAAATAAACGACGTGGTATCAATTCGAAAATGCACTTAACACCATTTTGCCGGCAAGTAGATCAATTTAGCTCAAATCTAGTTGAACGTTTAGTGTGACGTAAGCTTAATTTATTTAATTTAATAGCCGATTGGCGATCGCAGCAGCGCAATGTGGGATACTAGTTTAATGTTTGTTTTTCACCGCCGAGCGATTTAATGTTAATGCACCGGCGATTGCGCATTGCACATCCAATGGCGCTGAAGTAATGGCCGCATTGTGTGACGCGTCGCGCCGGCAATACCGGCATTAGGTACATGCCGTACAGTTACTTCTTGTACTTTGAAACTAAACCAAACCAGCAAATTCCATCAATATACCTTACGCATACATCCCCAGGGAAATAAAAGTGGAATTAGTTTAGTTACTATGAGATGGCGTCAGACGAGGTTATGTTATGTATGCTGAGAAAATAAATATTGATTAGAAAATTCCTTGCGGTAGTAGAAATCAATTATCTTGGTGACTTGCAAAAACGCATAACATCGTAACTCTGCTCACTGGAATCTCCGAGCGGACGAATCTTGCTTTAAATCTCGTTTTAATGGAACTCGATTTTAATGAAGCTAATAAACTGCACGCAAACGTTGCACAACAAATGTGCGGCATTCGTGTGACGAAATCTTAAGATGTTTTAATTACTAACTTAGTTCATACTTAGGCATAGTTTAAATATTAAAAGCGCCCGAATTAGAAGCACTCGTAAATTGTTTTAAATAATTTAAATATCATAGGAAATGTTAAATTGTGTTATGCAAGATAAATTTAGGGCACATCTAAATATCGTTAGTTTTTTTCAATACTGGTTAGGTAAGAAGATGGCCATTGAAATACTTTCAGGTTAGATAATGTAAATAATTTAAAATTTTACTTTTAGTACTTTAGTTTAAGAAAATTGAGTCGTTAAAATGTGCAGTTAAAGTTTTAGTCTTTATTATAAGAACAAATAAATAATTTTAATTAAAATCAAAAGTAAATTTAATTTTTTGCTTCATTTTCTTTATTCACGCATAAAACTAAACATTTTTAAGT